AGGCATGTTCTAAACGCATATGCCATGTGCTGAAAGAAATAGCACCTATTGTTGAAGAAGCAACACGATTCAAAAGTTGTAAGGTGTAGATTCCACAATTAATTTCAGCATTTCTAATTAATTTATTCGATACTAAGTATTGAATGAGACAAGACGTGGAGAAGAACGTAATAACACAATTGTGTTGTTTGGTCAATTTACTAACTGGCAATAAATTGTAGTGGAAACCAGGCACAAACATGACATCATTAACTATGGAATCATTGAACAATAAAACAGAGCCCTAATGTGTGGCATATAGAATTGAACCATTCGATAACTGAACAAATTTAGGACAATCTAATTGAATAGATTCAATAAACAAGTTTGGATCTAAAAATCATGTGATCAGAAGCTCTGTTATCCAAAATCCAAGAATGAACTAGTACATTCTTACAAGAGACATCAGCAATGAAGATGACTTATTTGTCATTTCATAAAAGATTCTTGAGTTGTATGTATTCATCCATGGTGAAACCAGCTAACAACAAAGATTGAGCAATCTAATTTCCTGTGTAGTTAGCCTGAGCATATTATCCTCACGAGAAGATTTGTTATGATCTTAGTTTGGCAAATAGCCAATTAGTTTGTAACATCTGTCTTTGGTGTGCGCAGTTTTATTATAATGATCACATCGTAGCTTAGGTTTTCCATTGGAATTTTGAGAATTGGACTTAGCGGTTGTTTCATATAAAGTTGTGAGCTCAATATTTGGATTACTATGATTGCACGGAGTGAGGGAAAGATGCTTTTTTTCTTGAATTACTAGTGCATATGCACGATTAATATTAGGAAAAGGTTTAGAGGTTGTTGCATGTAAAGCTGTAAGATCAAGATCCGAATTACTATGGTTGTCTAGAGTGAGGGAAAGATGCTTTTCTTATTGAATTACCAGTGCATATGCATGGATAATATTAGGAAGAGGCTCTATGCTCAAAATGTTTGATCTAATTGTATTAAAGGCTTCATAGAGGCACATGAGAAATTGGTGCAATTTCTCACATTCCCAATCAACAAAAATCTCCTTCATTGCTCCACAAGAACACTCAAGAACAGGATTGAGCACATTTAGATGATCCCATAACGTCTTTAGCTTGGCAAAATAGGTAGCGACTAAGAAATTACCTCACCGAATGAGTGTTAAGTAACATTTCAACTGATGAATCCAAAGTGTTTTATTATTATTATTATTATTATTTGAGAGTATCATTATTCAAGATCCTTCCAAATCTCATATGCCCTTTTAGTATAGACAATGCTCTCATGCAATTCTCTGGCCAAGGAATTAAACAACCAAAATATGACAATGGAGTTGCATTTCTTCCATGCCAGCTCTTGTGGTGAACCTCGATTTGGATGAGTGAGTGAACCGTCTACAAAACTATACCTCTTACCAATTCTAACTCGATCTATTTGCAAGCTAATAATAATCCACTACCACAAATTAATATGCACAATACATCCAAACTTAAATAATATGTTATACATGTGAATGACAAACCAATTGCAAATTAATGCATACAAATATCTTATAGTATGGTTTATATACAGAGACAAAAAAGCCAGTTCTTTGGATCAATTATCCATGATTAATAAGGAAATTAAATAGGATGTTGTGTATATTAGAGTAATCTGCATAGCAAGGTTTTAAAAACCAACCCAAAACCATAACTATTATAGGCACCGGTTTTTGGATCAACGGTTTGACTATTTCGTTCAAAGGAAGGGCCCATTCAAACGAAAAAAAATAAAAATTAATTAAAATAAAATGGCCAAATCCACTGAATGGGTCAACAATTTGACTACCTGGGTCAACAGGTCATTGACCAATTCAACATTTTTTGGCTAGGGGCCAGTTTTAGGGTAAAACAGAATCGGTTACTTGGACAATTCCCAGGCCAAACGGTCTAGCCATCCGGGTCAATGACGGTTTGAAAACATTGTTGCATAGTGGTCGGACATGCTAGCCAATGATATTAAAATATTATAAAATGGTTATGAGACCTACATTATTATGAGATGCTACATGCTAAATCTGCATGCAACTGGTTAATGGATTAGGATAATGACATGCCTCCACATGCAACATCTTTTATGCTAAACCAATAGATAGTAGCCATGGGTTAGTGGGGTTAGGTGCAAAGTGTCAATTGATTAATTGGTAAGGTCTCTTGCTAGTTGTAGTAAATGATTTGAGTTGGCTTGCACCCAGGTTTGAGAGGGGTCATGGGCATGGTTTTTAAAACAGACTCGGTGATCGAACTGGTTAGGGGTCTAGTTATCAGGTTGAACGGTTTGACACCTGAATGGCCGGTCCGTTATGACAAAAAAAATTAGAAGAAAATTGAAAAAATTGAAAAACAGTCAAAACTGTTTGAAGGGTACGAACGGTTAACCGGCCGGTTCAATGGTTTGCTGACCAAAATCAACGGTTTTGGGGAAAAACGGAACCGGTCCTGATGGGCAATCCCTATTGTATAGCCTCATCTCATGGAATCAAAAAGGGAAAAAGGGCTAAGAAGAATAGGGGAGAGGGTTAAGTTGATAGAGATGCAAGTAAGAACTGGTGGCTTACACAATGCAAGATTATTCTTTTCCAGTGGAAGCCCCGTAGAGAAGATGCATGCAAACGGATTGAATCTACTATACTTTTTCTTTTTCTATGCTTGTTACATGATGGGTGATTCATAACTTGTTATAAAGACCGTGCATATGATGAGTTTTAAACCAAGTCTTAGAAATCTATCACGCATCGATTGCGTAGTGTAGAATTCAAACTTTGAATAAATGGGATTGAGACTTAAGTGGCGTTTGATAACACTTTTCAAACCTATGAAGTCTAAAAATGTTGCTTTTTAGACATCAGTGGTGTTTGGAAGTGTATATGAACTTGGGTCTGAAAATTATTTTTAGATATGAAATAATAAGACATGGGGCAGGCATTGAACGCGTTCAGATGCATTTCAGACCTGGCTGAAAGTCCAAAATACCCTTGAAGATGTTGCTTGCGTCTCTCTCTCTCTCTTCTTCTTCTTCGGCAAACTAGTGGTGTCAAGTTCCAGCCCCCCTCTCTCTCTCTCTCTCCTTTCTTCTTCTTCTTCTTCTTCTTCTTCTTCTTCTTCCCTTGCCATTGCAACCGAATAGTCTAATTTATAATAAAATTAATGAATTTCAAATGCTAAAGGTTTAATCCAACACAAACAACCTTCTTTACTCAGAGCCTCTAAAAAGTCAAAAAACAACTGTCTCTTTTTAGATTTTAGACACTTTTAATATCTTTTTAACTTTTCAGATTTATCAAACACCACCTTCGTGTCATTTCTTGTCCTTTTATAAATGATTTTTCTTTTTATGGTTTAAGGTATCCACATTACTCACTTCCTTGTCATTGGTTAGTCTTGTATTTTGATGCTGAGTTGCTGACTCTTAGGTAGGTACCATGGGATGAGTTTTCACATGGACTATTTGGGTCTAGATGTATACCCAGAACCAATTTTATTTCTATGTGAGGTAGTTGGGGCATTTGGAGCTTTTACATAACCTAATTTTTATAATAGGAAAAATTTATAATTATTATCCTGTACTTTGGGCCTAGTGCCACTTTGGCTCCCAAACTTTAAACAAATCAATACCCAAAATTTCAAAACGTGCCAATTTGGTACCTACCGTTAACCAGCCCGTTAAGTAGCATTTCAAAAGATGCAAATGTTCTTCAAGTGTCATCTAAATTTCTTTATCAACCATCCAAACATTGATAAAAAATGAACAGTCCCAAATCATTGCCTCTTCTATTCAATAAAATTAGAGTTACCAAAATGCCCACTGAGATTTGATCCCAACTTTCTTGAATAGAAGAGGGAAGGATTTGGGATTGTTCATTTTTTGTCAATATTGACAAAGAAAATTAGATGACACTTGAATGGCTGGTTAACAACAAGTACTAGATTGGCACGTTTTAAAAGTTCGGGTACTAAATTGTCATGTTTTAAAGCTTGGGGACAAAAGTGGCATTAGGCCCAAAGTACATGGTACTAATCGGGAATTTTCCCTTTACAACATGTTGCCACACTTTCCATCATATGCAAAATTGATTCGTTATTTTTTCTTTCCCTCTCATTTTGCTCCTCCCCTCTTTCAATTCTTTATTATTAAGTCTTATATTTAAGGTATCAATTCCCATGATCTCTTATTAAATCGTATGCTTAATTTTTTTTCTCACCAATAAATTCCACTATGGCATCATAGATGAACTCTAAGATATATGACATACAATGGATACTTTTGAAAAACAAACCAAGAATGAAGCCAATATTTTGTATCATATGGCCAAAATGGGTCATATAATGTCATATTTAAACAATAAAACTTTAAAATATAAATAAATGCAATAAAATAAAAATATTTATAGAAAAAATTGGGCATATCTCTAGTATTTTATTTTACACCAATAATCACATCATATGATAAACAAGAATTATTTTTATGTATGATAGAAATAAAATACAAAATTTAAAATCGGCCCAAGAATGAACTTGTTTTCTTGTTTGGTGGCGTGTTAATAGTTCAACAATAAAATGACAAAAATGCTGAAAATTCATATAAAACACTTGGATACATCTATGATATTATATATTTATTGCATTAAACAAAAATAAGTGTATTAAATAAAATTTATTAAACACATAGAATTATAAAAGTATATATAAAAAAGTATAGAAGAATTTATATATTATTATTATTGTTGTTGTTTTGTTGTTATTTTCATTTGAAATTGACATGTACAAATTTAATATTATATATGTGTATATATTTGCGAAGAGGATTTGATCCTTCCATCCAATTGCAGGAATAATATGATCCTTAGTAGCCGGAAAACAGGGCAAGGTCCTTAGGTTATGTTTGGTTTGACTGAATGTTGAGGGATAGTTAAATAAACTGTACCCATCTGATGTCCCTCAAAGGGATTGCAACTGCAGATGGGAAGGCGATGTGAATGAGGTGTCCAGTGTCCACCTAACGAACGTCGCAGATCCCTTGTGCGTTAATCCGATGCTGACGATATAAAATTCGCACTTCGAACTTACGACTTCCTAACTCGTCTCAGAGAGAGAGAGAGAGAGGGAGAGAGAGAGAAGGGGGCAGGCATGAGTGCTTCATACCTAGCGAGGAGGGCTGCTCAGAAGGAGCGGGTGAGGATCCTCTACAGAAGGGCTCTTAAAGACACTCTCAACTGGGCCGTCCATCGCCATCTCTTCTATCAAGATGTAAGAGCATTTCTTCCCCTCTCGCCATCCATGATGATTATTACCACACCTTTGCTCCATCTCTTTACCTACACTGCGATCTTTATCACGTTCTCTCACAAGAGATCCATCCCTCTCATTTTTTAATTTCAGAATTTGTTTATCTACGTTATGCGGTTTGGATTTTGTTCAAATTTCCCACAAATTATTTTAACTCTTTCTACAATTTTCAATTTCAGGCATCCGGCCTCAGAGAAAAGTTCGAGGCCAACAAACATGTGGTTTGTTCTCTTGAATCCCGGAAATCAAGCTCTTTTATATTTCTAATGCTCTTTCTTATTTGTGTTTCACCGGTTTCTTGCACTCGACGCGCAAATAATGCATATTTGTGTTCTTTGTGCCGGTCTGGAATTTACTTGTAATGTGCTAAATCAGTGTTTTGTCAAAGACTGTTAGATAATTTTCACTTTGGTTTCATGGTCCGAACAAAATTACGGTTTCCAATGGAATGGATGTAAATTCAGGTGCAACTGATACGAAATAAGTGTCAGAACTTGGATAAATGATAAAATTCTAAGTTGAACATATACTAGCGATAGCGGAACCGCCATCTTTATATAGATTCCATTAAACTCTTATGTAGCCTTTTGGTTTAAAATGTTGAATTCGAAATATGAATCAAATGTCATATCTACGTTGCCTAGTCGACTTGGGAACACTGCTTTCTTGTTTCTTTGCAACTAGTCCTGTTTGCCTCTATGTATATTGCTGCTTCCTCACTTGACTTCGTATCTCCTACTTCTGTGACCAAAATCGCTTTCTTCCTGAGGTGCTTAATGCACGTTACTGGACTTCAAAATTATGATACTGATTTTCCACAGAAGAAAGGAGATGTAAAATGATTACAATTTCTAAATTCTAGAAGGTATTCTAAGATAATTTCAATTGATTTATTATCATTTTTATAAAATGTCTGGGATAATGTAGGTATTGTATATATCTACGATAAGTATATACTTATGATGTTGAGATCTCATAAAATCCATTTGTCAAATGAACTGATTTTGAAGATTGTATTAGGATGGTCCTGACATTCGCCTGTGCTTCCAGGCATATGGGCTGATTTCCATATACAAAATTTAAATACATGACCACTAACTCACTATATCTCATGTAAAAGATGACTATAATATCATGTTAGTTGTTACAAAAATAAGTGAATTCAAGTTCACAATTATTATTTAAAAAAAGACACTCCACTGTGCGAGAGACGGAGAGATCAGCTTTGGAATGTTGTCAAAGATATGCTTGTCGCCTTTTATCAACAATTCAAAAAAGGGAGCTAGGTTCCAAAGTATTTATGCCCCTGCCCCTGTGATAAAGCCTTTAATAGGCCAAGCACCAATAAGTGAAACTAGATCTCTTAGAATGACACATTGTCTTCCAAACAGCCACAAAATTAAAAGATGTGAAAAAGCCTGAAGTAAATAACCACAATGGAAGGGTAGGTGTGTCATGTATTCCTTCTCATACTGACATGAGAATCATAAGTTGTTCATATCTCTTCCTACCATCTCAACTCAACTCAACTCAACTAAGCCTTGTCCCAACTATATAGAGTTGGCTACATGAATCATGTTCTACCATTCCATTTTGTTCAGTTGAGCACGAAATGGCATTCAGGAGGTATTTGTTGGGAAGTGTTCATGGAAAGAATACTTGCGGTTTGCTCCAAAGGAAAAGACCAAGTTACCTCATTGGTGTATTCTTTGTAAGGCCAATGGAGAATCTTGCTATCACTTATTAATCTCTTAATCTCCTGCCCATTTATCTCTCCCATTTGGGACTGGTTTTTTTTCTTTGTTAGGGTGTAGGTGGAGCCCTCTACCAAATTTGCAAAGTTTGTTTGCCTCTACATTCTTCAGTTGGCATAAGAAGAGGGGAAGGTTGTTATGGAGATGTGTAAGAGCTGCCTTAGTGTGGACCATCTGGGAAGAAAGGAATGCAAGAATATTTTCAGGCAATGAAGAAGCGGAGAAGCCATTGTCAAGTCTATCACTGTCAGGGCTGTTCAATGGGCAAAATCCTTGAAGCTCTTGGTTGATTTTTCAGCAAGTGACGTCTTGAGAAATTGGAAGGAAGTTGCTAGTCCAGATCGTCATAAGCCTGTAACTAGTCCTAGTTGGTCTACTCTGCTTCATGGTTTCATAAAGCTGAACTTTGATGGGAGTAGTACAGGGAACCCAGGTCTCCCTCAGTTATTGGTGGTGTTTTCAGGAATGAAGAGGGCAGTATTGTTGGTCTATTTTCTGGGCCAATAGGTGAAAGGGATTCATTAAGGGCTGAGATGTTGGCTATGGTGGAAGGAGTGCAAAGAGCAAAGCACATGAACATCAGTGAATTGGTTATAGAAGGAGATTCAAAGCTAATGGTTGGATGGGTGCAGAAGGAAGAAGTTGGGCTGTGGACTTATAGCAATAAAAGGAAGAAATTTAAATGGTTGACATGAGTCATGGATGTGATAGTTAGCTGTGTTAAAAGAACAGTTAATGGTTTTGCTGATGCCTTGGCAAAACAAGTGATGGGAAGAAATCAATTGTAGTTTTGCTTTATATTTTTTTTTTTTTGAGGAGAGTTAAGAGTTTTTACCTATCCTCCTTTGTAATTTGCTCTTTCTGTTTTAATGAATTTGAAGTTATTGATAAAAAAAAGAGCTTGGCAAAAAATTTAATGCCAGATGCTAGCCTAGCACAAGTTATACAACCCTCTTCTACCTGGTCTTGGGACAGTCAGTTTAAGACAATCTCAACACTGTTCATATCTCTTCCTCTAAGGGTTAAATGATCAATGGCAAGGATCTTGTCAAGATAGACTGTTTACATGAAGTTGGGGAAAAACACAAACTTTTCTCCACTGTTGCTTCATCTGTGACAGATGTCTAACATCAGAAAATTTGATGAAAAGAGAGATTGCACTAGACAACTTGAATTGCATGTTCTGTGACAGTTGTAAGGAATCGGCAAATCATTTTTTTGTCCACTTTTGCTTCCCGTCCAAATTTTGGATGAGGGTTCTGGGAATTTTTGGAGTACAAATATGCTTTCCAGAAACAGTACAACAATTTTTTGAAGCCTGACAGACTAGAGCTTGAGCAAAGGTCGTAAGGAAGCATGGGGAATGATACCTGCAGAAGTATTCAGGGCCATCTAGGGGAAAGGAATGATTGCATTTTTTGACAACAAAGCAAGCAAGGAGACAATGGTAGCTATGAAGATTAAAGTAATGTTATTGTCATAGGTAATTATAAAAAAAATGTTATTGTCATAGGTGGCCTCACATTACTTGTTTAGAGGAAGATCTTACAATTCCTTTTTGATTCAGATTTTCTGTTTTATAATTACTTTCCCGAATACAACTATACTTTTTGTTAATTCTCCAATGTTATGGCCCCTTTGTTGTACATGGCTGCTATTTTCTCCAATACTCTACCAACTAAAAAAAAGTGAACTTTGGGTGGTGTATTTGAAGATCATATCCATTGCAAAGTTGCAAGGGTGGGCCTTGGCACAATGGTTGGGTTACTCCATCGCAACCTGGGTGACCAATAGGGGTGGTGATCATGGGCCGGGCTTATGGGCTTTCCGGGCCTATGACATCCAATGATAAAAAATTAATTATTTAAATTTTTAATTTTAAATTAAATTAAATGTAATATATGCAAAAAAAAATGGCACAAGCCCAAGGTAAATTGGTCTTGGCTAAGCTTTGGGCCTATGCACAAAAAAAGGCATGGGCCTCATTTAATTCTTAGAATTGGTTTGGTTTGGCTTACCTATCCTTTTATAGATGAAGGCAAAGCCTCCATTCCCATTCTTGAGCAATGTGGGATTTGGAACAACACTAAATAATGACTGCTACCATTGAGTGTTTTTCCAAGTCCCACATTGCTTAGGCAATGAGAAGGCCTTGCCTAGGAGGACAATTTACATACTTGGGTCGGCTCAAGTGTTCACACATGTATTGACATGTGTCAACTAATTAATATTTATTTATATTTTAAAACTTGAAATTTTTATATCTTATATAAAATAATAAACATTTAGTATAAAATAAAAGATACTTGTATATATATATAACATATATAATATAATGTTATATATTATATTATATTATATTATATTATATTATATTATATTATATTATATTATATTATATTATAATATCATATTGTATTGCAGGCCGGGCCGGGATTGAAGTGTTGGGCCCAAGCCCGGTCCAAAATATTATGGGCTTGATGCGGGCCTGGGCCGACCGGGCTTGCACACAAAAACCTGGGCCCAGGCCCTGAAATTTGTGGGTTGGGCTGGGCCAAGAATGATAAACCCTAGTGACCAGGAGCCTTGTGTGTAGGTGTAAGACTGAGTACATCTGTCCCTCCCCAGACCCTGCATAGGCAGGAGCCTTGTGCACTAGTCTGCCCTTTTTTATCCATTGCAAAATTGCAAAGCTTAGATGGATGAGTGGTAAAACTAGAAAGGATAGTTAGAAATGAAGCCATATGAAGGAACCTGGTAGTAGCTCCAACAGGTGATAAAATGAGACAAGGTAGATTGAGATGGTTTGGTCATGTGCATAGAAGAACATCTACAGCATCTGTTAGAAAAAGTCATCTGTTACACGTTGAAGGGGCTAAAAGAGCTAGGGGCAGACAGAAAAGGACTTGATTGGAAGTGATAGTAAATGATTTAAGTGCCTATAATATAAGAATGGATATTGCACTGAACACAAAGGAATGGCAAAATAGGATTAACGTAGCCAGCCCCGTCTAATTGGGACAAGGCTTAGATGATGACCCTCCTGTCCTCTAAAGGGTTAAATTTGGAAAAATACATCTAAGATCCAGTGAACAAACCATGTGTTCCACTTGCAGAGGGGAAATCTTCACTGGTTGAATGCAGCCCAAGCGATTCACTAGGAGGTCAGTTCCACAGGCATGAGGCACCACATTTTGATCTGTTTCATGTGATCATTTCCAACGGTATCTTAGTTACGAACTTGTCTTGAGACCTCACTAAAAAGGCCGTTACCCAGTGTCTGTCCCCACTATCTGTCTAGGTCTCAAGACTTCATTCATGGACAGAAATATAGGTTGTATTTATGCTCTAAAATCGGACTTGAAGGAGATTAGAAGTTGGTTATTGACTGTCTGAACAGGAAATCTAAGATCCCATGGAGCATCAAGGACCGGATTGAGGATTGCCAGGGAACTGCAAATGACTCTGAACTGGAGATCAAATATTCTCATGTTATAGTGAAGCTAATCAACTTGCTGATTACCTAGCTGATGCGGGCCATTGGAGAAGCATTACTGAGATTCATGTTATTGCTTTAGCTGACTCTTAAGGGCTGATCTGTCCCAAAATCTGTGTAATTTCCTTCTGTTACCAAAAAAAGATGTCTTGCTAGACCATACATGCTTCCAACAGACTTTGGTGGCTGTAAAGGGAACTTTCTGCAAGTTGGGGGCCTTTTTCTGTAAAAAATAAAAATATTTTTATATTTTGCAATATGATTCATGATTTGATTTGGTTCAACATTCTGTACGACTTGTGATACACGATTATGAGCTTTAAAGCATTTAAAGGCATGTTTCCTTTTGTGTGTCTAACAAAATCAGTAAATAATTTATGTTGATGGTCCAACTAATTGGATGTGTACCAACTCATCAAAGGTTTGGGCTATCAGAGCATCTAGCCGAGTGGTGATTTTCCATGACATGCACTTGCAGACATGTAATTTCTTGTCTTGTCTGTGCATGATTTAGATCTTGAGCAACCAATGCCTGTTCATGCATCATAGGCTCCAACAACAACTCAATCTTGTTATATATGCATGTTATTGCCCAAACACAAAGTGTAAGTTTCTATCTAAGTGAATAATTCAGGATTGCATTCTGATATGTTTCTTGTATAAAAGGCACTAATATGGTCATGTGAGCAGACAGGGTGAAATACTTCATAGTTTCTACTAGTGTTTTGTTGCTTTTTTACAGCATTTGGGCAATGTTTGTGTAAGGATTTGTTCTGAGTGAATATATATATATATATATATATATATATATATATATATATATATATATCGCTTTACATTTACATGGAATGCTTTGTTAGAAGTTGGATTAGATGATGTTTCAATACTTTGCCAATTAATTACTTACCTGCCTTCAGCTAAAGCTAACCATTTTAGTGAAGTAAATAAAAAAGAAATATTTGCCTGGTTCTGATTTTTTCTGGGATTATTTTTTTGGTAAATTCATAGGAGGATCTTGATACCATTGATAGAATGATTGCTGATGCTGAAGCAACCTATAACAAGTGGCGGCACCCTGATCCTTACATTGGTATGCATAATGCTGGAAACCCACTTGATCTCATACTGATCTCCAATTGACATGGTTGAACCCATCATTTTTCATATCCTGGTGCTGCCTGCAGTTCTTTTAATTCTCAGATGCAAAATATATTTTTGATGGTGGTTGTATTCCTTTTTGTCTGTAACTAGTGCAAATTGTCTTTCGTGTTTAATATGTAGATATGCTTGTTCTTAGATATTTGCATTGAAATTCTAATAGCTTATATACTTGCATGCTTACTCTTTCTTAAACTGACATGGATCAAATAATCGTCAGACATGGCTCAGAACTATATGGACATTGCCTAAGTAACTTGAAAAGTCTCCCATGCTTTAAATCTTCAGGCGTGGTGGAAGACACCTTCAGGCTCAGCTTATAGATCATGTCTCAAAATTTGAAACATATACGATAAGCATCACTGACGGAGCTTATTGCATTGGTGGTCAGAATGCTTAGATGATGAAAAATAAACACACATGCTCATCAGTAAATTTTGTTTTACTAATTAATACAAATATACCTTACCTTAAAAAATATTGCGAACTTTTAAATTATTTTGAGCCCAATGTCAGATTGGATTTTCTCTGGTAAATCAATGTTGAACGTTTTTATGTATTCTATGACAGGGTTTTATGAGAAAAAATTCCTAAATTTTTTCTCTTCTGAAATACTTGTCATAAGATCCGGATGCACCCATCTCCAATCCTACAACTACTTTGTAGAATTTTCCTTTTAGCCAAAGTGGTATTTGCTTATCACATAAGATCCGGATGCACCCATCCTGCTCTAATTCCATTAACGACATTCTCCACAATCTCTCCTTTGTTATGGATTATAAGGCCAAGGTGATGCGAGACACATTGAGTTATCCATTCATCTCCAATCTTCCTCTTCTGAAATACTCCTCCAGATTATTTTTTACCTCCTTTAGAAGGTGGAGACAAGAAACAGGACTCCAAGAAAGTCCAGTGAAAAGTTGGTAGGTCGTGCAGTTGCAGACTTGATGGCTTAAGCTTGCTGGGGTTGTGGGAAAGAGAAACTTCGTTGTGTTGCACCTACAATGCCAGGAAATTCTTAATGATTTTGTATTCTTACTTTGTTAGCCAGTTTTGAGGCCATGTATCCCTGTTTCCCTTTACAGATGTTTTTCCTCTCCTCTTTGTTCCCTCTTGATAGAGCACAATGGCAGGACAGGACTTGTGTAGCTGACACCAAATAGTTGGGATTAAGGCTGAGTTAAGTTGAAATGAGTTCTCTTTGTTCTCTGAAATAATATTTTCCTGTTACTGATTAACATGCTTCCTCTATGAATTCTACTGAGCCATAAAATTCACTACTTTTGATATGACATGCTGATTGAACAGCTTATGTTAATCCGTTTTTAAGCAACATTATGTACCATATATATATGCATATTTCTGTAATCTAAAATCTCCTAAATGCTGTTAAACTCTTGTGTATAAATTTAAAGGCTTCAAAGCTGCCTAAACCTCTTTACAATCCTTGGAAAGGTAGATATTTAGACCCATTACAAGGTTGACAACAATTTTCTAAAAGAAAACATCTAAAACTAATACCTAACAAAGTAAATCTTAAAAGCTAAAACTAACAACAGTTAAAATTTAAAAAAATAAATCCAATGATCCACAAATAGGCCATTGGTTGATTGCAAATTAAGATTTTTCCTATTGTTAGAAACGGCATTTAATCACCAGAAATATATGTAGCACCTTTTTCAAAATGGAACTTAATAAGAATGCTTCATATATGTCCTTCTCGAAGGATTTATAACCTCTATTACCACAGTTGTTCAGCAACAGTTTTATTTTAGTTGTGGTAGATGTTTGGATTGCTGCAAGATCATGTTGTGAGCTTAAACAGTCCATCATTGTACATTGATACTTGATTCGCAATACTTGTATTTGTCATCCTCATAGCTTAATGGTTAATTCATCTAAAGTTGCATTTTCTCCTTTATTTTTGTTGTTATGACTGGAGTTTAAATCCTTTTATCTCTTCAATTATAACCATGGAACTTGACAGTTCTATTTTCTTTTGAACAGTTCCTTGGGCTCCTGGTGGTACCAAGTTTACGCGAAACCCAACACCACCTTCTGGGGTAAGTTGGCTATTTTCTTAGACCAAAAGAAGGGGAAGGTTATGCGTTATGTTTTTTGTTTTTCTATCAGTTTTTCTGCGTGCATTATTAATTTTTTTACTTCAACTGATAAGTTATTTGTAATCCTGCGCACAGCATTGCTACATTAGTTTATACTGTTTTTCGTTAATGATTACAACCTATTGTTTTCAGTACTTGTGCATTAAATGCCTTATGATGAATGCCCTTGAATATGCATCTACTTTAATGTACTTTATTAATTTATTTAGATTACATTTCTAGACAGATAAGGAATCAAGGCATCATTTTTTTTGTATAGTCTACTGGTTGTTAACTTAGAAGATTCCTTTTCTTCTGATTTTTTATTTTTTAGAGGAATAGTGAAGAGTATTTACCAGGAGGCATCCTCCCTGTCTTTACATGTGACACTTCTCAAGATATTGAGTCCACAATCTGGCGACATTAGACCAGTTGGATGATTATAATCCTGTTTAATGCTCAGAGAATATGGAAGATGGTCCCATATAAAAGGTCTGCAGAGTGCTGATCAAATGGTTTTACCATCATTCGAGTGGAAAACTTTTGGCCCTGGAGATTGCCAGAGACCATCAAATAGTTGGTCCTGGTTCTACTGTATGTGGAAACCATGTGTTTGTTGTCTCAAGTAGAAGTTGCTGGTCTAATTTCTATTGCTTCCTGGTCTAAAACAGGGCAAAATTTTTCGCTTACTAACTAGGGCTGCTCATAAGAAGGCCCAACCCGAACCAACCCAACCCGAGTCGGCCGGGTTTTCATCAGCACCGGTCGGTTTCGGGTTGGGCAAAATCATAAACCGATATATCGGGTCGGTTTCAGTTTTCTTATGTGAAAACCGAAACCGAAACCGACCCGAACCAAACCGAACCAATTAGTTTTCTAGTTCGGTAGTTCCTAGTTTCCTACTTAACTAGTCTTCTACTAGAACTAGAACAGCCCTATCTTCTAGTTCTTACTTAACTAAATTGTATCTATCCTAATTTCTATAGTCTTTTACACCAAATAGGCAACCCATTAGGCAATTACAATTAGAATTAGGTGTCCTTCTAGTTCTAGGCTTCTCTATCATTTTTGTACAGGAGCAAAACCGAAACCGACCCAAACCGACTCAAACCGACCAGGTCGGTTTTGCCTATCAGTGGGTCGGTTTCGGTTTCCACCTCATGTAACCCAACCAGGTCGGGTCGGTTGGGAAAAACCCTGTAAACCGACCCAGCCCGACCCGTGAACAGCCCTATTACTAACCAAAAAAATCAACCTTTCATGCTACCTTCTAAGATTGTTTCTATCCATTTTGCTGGAGAATCTATCTTTTCTAGTATATTTTTACACTATTATTCACCATTTAGTTGTGGATATCAATTGTCCAACTTATTGTAATATATCTTGGGTAATATTTCTTGTACAAGGTTGCAACATAGGTGAAAATTGATGTCTTGTAAGTTAATTTCTTGAGTGACTTCAAATTGTCCTTTCAGAGGTTTTCTAAGAAAATAAAATCTCTTCCTCATTTTCTTATTTATTTATTAATTTTATTTTATTTTTGGTGGTGGCTGTGGATGGATGGGGGTTCATTAATTGTAGGAAATGCACAATTATAAAATATTTTTCAAGGTGGGCAGTAATGACTGAAAATGATGGTTTAGTTTGAGTGGTAGCTAGCAATTGAAGAATATGGGATAACCTGAAACCTTTAGCTTCTGCACTAGCTTTCAAATGGATTCAACAGAAATTTAGTCAATGCCATGGATTAAATCTATAATTTATTGTTTATTCATATTTTCAAGCTCCTCGTAACCTTTGCCTTTTACTTAGATGTTGGCATGTAGGAATATAGGATCCTGCAAATTTTGTCAAATCTTGTTTCATAGGGAGTGCTTGCAGGAATGTGTCAAATATTTTATTAAGATACAAAATGATCTCATAAAAGAGATGCTTATTCAGTATAATCAGCCAATTATTTAAGTTCAAATATTTACAACTCAGGTTATCTGTATTAGTGTAGCTTAAAGGAACTGTACGATAGAATTGGTCTAGAAGATTGGCCTTGAGAACATTGTTACAAAAATATTATTTTTATCAGTCGGTGGTTTTATGTGATCAAGAATAAACAATCTGGTAAAGAAAGTTGATTGTTCATGGGTAGCATTGATTTGGGGAAGAGGGAAGTTGATCATTCGTTGCAACAGTACAGAAATATTTAGGGGTACCCGCTATGGTTCTTTTTCTTTTGACGAGGGTACACTCTTTTGTTACTAACAGGCAACATATTGATGTAGGCTGTTTATGCATACTTGACAGAACTTCTTGCTGTGATGAGCTGAGATGCATTCTGTTCTGTTCTGTTCTGTTTTGTTTCAATACAGTACCTAAAGAAAAAAGTTAATTGATCACAGGATTTGGGGATATCCACAAGTTAAATTTCTGTTGACATCTTATATAGGCATTTATAGGTGTTTCATGTGATTGGTACTATTGTTTCAATAATGTTATTACTTTTATGAAAAAATGCCAACTCTATAAATTCCCTATGCAATTTCTCATTTGAAGTCCATTGAATCACTTTCTTGACAATGTCTAGCAAATCTTGACAGCAATGGATAGTGGAGACTAGGATCATTCCTTTTGCTTTTCTGATATTATGGTGTGCATAATTGACGTGGCCTGCTGATGGTAGAATCAATTTCCTGTTAACGGAATTAGGTGGACCTTCAAGGAAGGATATAAGGAGATTCCTTTTTTTTCTTATTTGAAAACATTTTTGTGCTGAAAAAAAAATGAGGAATGTAGGTTAAACAAGTCTTATATTTTAACTCTCTTTGTAGGGGAACTGATGTACTAGAGGTTGGGAGGGTCATGCATTTCCACATTATTGTGTTTTGTCCATAGAAATCTTTCATTTTTTTTTAATTATAGAAGGAAAAGTTCATTTATTTTGGACAACATCTTTGTTCTTATAATTGTATCTATGCCTTTTCCCTGGCCTATTGTGTTCTGTTGTTTTTTCTGAAAACATTAAGGGGAGCTTAGAAGGGAAAGATATTTCTTTATAGTTTATAAGTTAATCTAATATGGATGAAGTTATTCAATTTGAATCCATTAGCTCATGAAGTTGAGATTTGATACAAAATTTGTGTTTTCTGTTTGGCTTTTAATAATCTTCAAAAATTCGCTTTTGATGCAGATCGAGATAATCTATGGTTATGGTCGTGAAGATAATGACTGAAACCGGCATGGTATTCTGTGGTAATTGGGATCCAAGCTTCGATGACTTTGATTTTCTCACTTGCATGTGCCATCTAGGGCTTCATGTTTTGTTGATGGACTAAGTTTATTCCATATTTTCCCATTTTATTTTAGCATCAACTGTTAAAGATGAGAGCCATAATCGTGCAGGACCTGTTACAATTCTGCAGTGTAAATGCTTGTGCATGATCCTTGGGAAATGTAGTCTGTCTGAAACCAGGCCTACAAAACAATTCCGTTAACCAAACAGCGTCGTTATCCATCTCTTGGTTCATTATCTATTATTCATTTTTTTCCCTGTAGAAGAGCAACATATGTGGACAGTTTTTTACTTATTTGACCGTCTAGGGAACAAAGCTAAAAAACAAAGGGAGAATGAGTATCCCCCATCAATGAGTCACTCTTGGTCCGTGGCCACTGACCAAAAGGTCTTGCCACGTAAAGATTGGAAACATCCACCAAAATGATCAGGCCGCAAATATCCCTCCTTTCATTTTTCAATATTCAGAAGAATACGTTTCTTTGTTGTCTCTGTCGCTCAACAATTTTTTTTTTCATGGAAAATTAATAGAAATAAATTTACAAATGTTCAAGTTCAATTCAAGTTGAATTGAGTTGAAGCCCACCCAAGTTGCATAAGATGGATTGAATTGAAGCCCACCTGGGCGTGCATTCAAGTTTTGACAAATGTTCACCTTCACTTCAAGTCCACACAAATTGCATAAGATGACTTTATATAGAACATTTACAATAAATTTAAAATGCATAATAACCCACTATCACATATTAATATGCATAATACATCCAATTTAAATAATATGGTATACATGTGAATGACAAACCAATTGCAAATTAATGCATACAAATATCATGTAATACATTATGAATTTCTGATTTATACACAGCAAAAAAAAAAAAAGTCGGTTCCTTGGATCAATTATCCACGATGAAAAAGGAAATTAAAGAGGATGTTGTGCATATTAGAGCAGTCTGCATAGTGGTTAGTGGAGAATGTGACATGCCAATGGAGTTCACATCTCCACCCCACAAGGGGCCACCCCACAACATCCCACAGTACATACCCGCGGGATGTTGTGGGGCGGAGATTTGAACTCATGCCAATGATATTAAAATATTATAATATGGTTATAAGGCCTGCATTATTATGAGATGTTACATGCTGAATTTGTATGCAGCTGGTTCGTGGATTGGGATAACCACGATGCCTCCATATGCAAGTATGCTAAACCTATAGATAGTAGCCACATGTTAGTGGGATTAGGTGCAAAGTTCCAACTGGATCCCACCTGCAACCTGATTGGGAGGGGTCATCAGTTTGGGTGATCCGGTGATGGGCAATCCCAATTGAATAGCCTCATGGAACCAAAAAGGAAGCGAAGATTGTTCTTTTCCACTATACATCTTCAATGGTGCGATGGAAGGGAAGCTCCGTGAAGAAGATGCACACAAACAGACTACATCTATTAAACTTTTTTGCTGTGCTTGTTACATGATCGATGCTTCATAATTTGATATAAAAACCATGAATATCATAATATATGAGTTTTAAACCAAGTCTTAGAAACCTGTCGCACATTGACTATTTAGTGTAGAATCCGGACTTTGAATAAATGGGATATTGAGACGGGGCGAGTTTTCGCATGGTTGAAGAGCTTTTTGAGCTATTTAGGTCTAGATATATACTTGGAAGTTGGAACCGATTCAATTTCTATGCGGGGCAGGCTAGGGCATTTTTACAATATAATGCCACACTTGCCACCATATGCGAAATTAATTCATTTATTTTCTTTCCCTCTCAACTTGCTCCCCCCTCTCTCAATTCCTTCTTATTAAGTCTTAAATTTAAGGTATCAATTCTCAACATCTCTCATTAAATCATATGTTTAAATTATTTTTTCTTTTCAATAAATTCTATTATGGCATCATAGATGAACCCTTAGATCTATGACATAAAAACTTATGCTTTTTAAAAATGAATCAAGAATGAAACCATTATTTTGTCTAGGTGGTGGATAAGCAATTCAACCATATGAGCCAAAATGGGCCATATAATGTCATAGGTAAACAATAAAATTTTAAAATATAAATAAATGCAATAAGATAAAAATATTTTGTAGAAACATTTGGGTATATCTATAGTCTTTTTCATTAATAATCATATAATATGATAAACAATAATTATTTTTATTTATGACAGAAATAAAATGCAAAATTTAAAATTGGCCCAAGAATGAACTTGTTTTCTTGTTTGGTGGCAGGTTATTAATTCAACATTTTGGGTTAAATGTGCCAACCTTGATATCATAATTAAACAATAAAAATTATAACAACAAAATCACAAAAAATGCTGAAATTTCATAGAAAACATTTGTACACATCTATGATATTATATATTCATTGTATTAAACAAAAAAATGTGTGATAAATAAAATTTATAAAGGTATAGAAAAAATCAGATAGATTATCATCATCATCATCTTCATATATATATATATGCATTTTTGTTATAATTTATTGATTTATATTTGTTAGAGATTAAATTATTATTGGATATTACACTATTTATTGACTAATTTAATATAGTTTTAGTATTTATTGTGTTTTCATAATTATTGTATTATTTGTATATTTATTAGTTATTTCTTGTATTTTCATTATAAATTTATTTTTGCTATAAATTCTCAATAATTATTGGAGATTAAACTATTGGTACTTATTAGAGATTAAACTATTAATTTAACTAAAATTAGGAGTGCTTGTGGGCCATTTCAGTTCGGTTGAAGGTTGTTTGGCCAACTAAACCAAGTTGGTTGGGTTGGGGAGTTGGTCACCCAAAACTAGATTTCATGGGCTGGATAACCCAACGGGTTGGCCTGGCTCAACCCATTCTAAATTGGGTTTGGTCAACATTTTAAGCCCACAGGCTTAGGCTTAGGCTTTAAACATCAGGTCTAACTATTTTATGGGTTGGGCTCGGGCTTTCCTAAATAAGCCCGACCCAAGCCCAACCCGGTAATATGATATATAGTAAAAAATATAATATGTATATTAATAATACATAAACTATATATATTATATAATAAAAAAATAGTAATGAAAAAATGTATTATATATTATAATATAGAATATTATAAAATATATAATATATTATTAATAATGTATAATTAATACAATATATAATATTTGTCTAGATTGGGCTTAGGCTTATGCCTGGTCACTTTCTGTTTATAAAGAGGAAAAGCCCGACCTGAGCCTACTTGTATATAAAGAATAGTAGGCGTGTTCTTTGAAGGTGTGAACACTGGCGGGGCGGTCAATGGTCTAGAGCTTGACGATGTCGTCCCAGGATGAGGTCAAGAAAGAGTCGGCAGAGTGGACTTCGCGGGAGTGTTCATGGAGGAAGAGAATAGGGTTGGTGGTGGGTGGAAGAGCAAGGTCCCTTCTTGTTTGCAGACGAAGTGGACTTTGTGGGAGTGTTCATGTAGGTTATACACAAATCGCCTAAGATGGCGTAGGGAGGCAAGTGTACTATTATATAACAGAGCAGCTAAATGTAGTGCCCCAATATCAGACAATGACAGCCACAAGTGTCAATCTCAGACGAGTAGCTACTGCCGCCGTTGCTGGGGTGTCGAGTCAAGAAGGTAAATTGGTTGTGAAGCCTTCCCAAGGTTCTCTATGATAGTGTGAATATGATCTTCAAAGGGTTGACTTTGATTTTGGTAGATGGTTGATAAAGAAAATTAGATGATACTTGAAGAGCATTTGTGTCTTTTTACATGCCACTTAGCGACTAATTAACGATAAGTACTGGATTGTCACGTATGAAAGTTTGGTTATTGGATTGTCGCTTTTTAAAGTTTGGGGACCAAATTGTCACCCGAGCCAAAGTACATGGTATTGATTGGGAATTTCCCCTTGTTTTTAAAATCCGTATTTCCAAAAAAATATATTATTTATCCTAAATTATCTCTAATTCCTATTTATCATTTTCTCTACTTTCTCATCTATCTATCTATCTATCTATCTATCTATCTATCTATCTATATATATATATATATATATTCTAGTCTAATCTAATCTATTCTTTATGTATACTAAAACAAGGGGATGTCTGCCTTTTTTTCTCCATATTTTATTTCATATATTTTTAATCCACATAATTTTATAAATGTCCAATGAGAGAGATGTTCTGTATTCTAAATGTCCACACATATATACAACTTTTAAGTTTTAAAGAGGAGTGAACAATAAGGTGAACATTCTTTTAAAGAGGAGACACATAGAACCGTTGGCCTTGGACCTTGGTGGGTCAATATGGGTGCGAAAAGCTGGAACACAAGCCTGCAGGTTTCTGGAAAACAAACATCTAAATGCCCCTCTTAAATATTTGGCTAACGGCCTTTTTTGTATTAGGGTCTGCTAAGTGTCTTAGTATTTAGTTTTGTATTGGATATTATTATATCTTCTAGGAGGGGTGGCGTTGTTAATTGAGATGTTGTCCTTCTATCAATTCATTTTTCATTAAATTTTCTTTCTTTTGATCTCTTTTGTTTTGCTACAATTAGATTGCGTCGGGTTGGGGCTTATAAATAGGCTAAAAAACAAAAAAAAAATATTTAAATATAACTTAGAATAAAGATTAACAAACATTAATAGAAATTTATCTAACAATAAAACCCAAAAGTAATGTCAAGGTTGGAATGGGTTCGACATTGCCCAATTGAAAAAAAACATAATCTTTAGTAGCCACAAAAAAGGGCAAGGTCCATGGGCCATGTTTGGTTTGACAGAATGTTGAGGGAAAGTTAAAGAACTTGTACCCATCTGATATTGGAGATGTGCGGTGTCAGATATAGTTGGTAGGGTGTTAGAATGTGTTTCGTTGGCAGGAAATCCCAACTCCCATCAAAGGGTTTCAAACTGTATATGGGAAGGTGATGTGAATGAGGTGTCCACCTAATGAACGTTGCAGATCCCTTATGTTACGAGTTCCTAACTCGTAGCAGAGAGAGAGAGAGAGAAGGGGGCAGGCATGAGTGCTTCATACCTAGCGAGGAGGGCTGCTCAGAAGGAGCGGGTGAGGATCCTCTACAGAAGGGCTCTCAAAGACACTCTCAACTGGGCTGTCCATCGCCATCTCTTCTATCAAGATGTAAGAGCATTTCTTCCCCTCTCGCCATCCATGATGATTATTACCACACCTTTGCTCCATCTCTTTACCTACACTGCGATCTTCATCACGTTCTCCCACAAGAGATCCATCTCTCTCTCT